CTGTGTGTGTGTCCCTTCTCTCATCCAATATCTCGCCCCCCCTCTCTCTCTCTCTCTCTCCCTCTCTCTCTCTCTCTCTCTCTCTCTCTCTCTCTCTCTATCAAACAATGTTACAATTAGATGATAAAAAAATAGAAGGAGAATGCTATCTCAGTGGGCTGAGGCAGAGAGAACTACAATTGAGGAGAGAGTGGGTCATCTCCTCTCCTCTCCTCTCCTCTCCTCTCGGGGAAATCCACCGTGTAACTCTCTCCCATAAGTCAGTCAGTCTCCTCTTGACACACAGTACTTGGTCTCATTTCTGCACCTGATACAACTGAGTTTACTGAGCTTCGGTATTGCCTAATCCACGGTTACTTTTTTTTTTTTAATTCACTTTTTAAATTTATTATTTTATGATGCACTTGTGTAGGTTCGCAAGGAATGAGACTTTCAATTTACTGAGAGTGTTTGGCGGGTGTCCTGGAGTGGTTTGTTCCGTCTTTTCTATCAAACATCTATCGTCCTTATATTATCGTTCTCTCCTCCGGTTTTTTTTTCTGTTTGTTACTCTTACAATGTCATGACCTTATTGAGTTGCAAGTGCCGTAACATTCTCACTAAAACGGAAGACATTCACCCCAATAATTCTATCGAATACGATTCTTGAACAAAACTTAACAAAGAGAAAATGAACGTGCGGATTGTTAAACCAATGCGTCATTCCAGTTACCGACACGCCTGAGTGAATGAACAGATCATAATATTATTGTCTAATACGCATTGTATTTGCACTAGATTTCTATTTGCAATTGCAATATAACATCTACAAAATTGTAAATAAAGGCATAAGCAGGAATACATTCCAAAATCCGGATTATTTCAGAAATTTGGATTTCCGGATTTCGGCGGAAAATTGGGACCTCTGTTTATTACAGCTGAAGAAAACAAAACAAAAATAAAAAATAAAAAATAAGCAAAAAGACGTGAAGGGCTGTTGGCGGCAAGTACTGCGTAGGTGTAGAGAGAGTGCTTGCCCAAATCGAGGGTCGTTATGGCGGGCCTTCACGTCTCCGAACACAGCCCAAGTAGCACTTAGAGACAGAGGAAAGCGGATACTAATCTGACAAAATCAGACTGCCACAAAGGAAAATACGGGGCTTCAAAAACGATGTATAGGCCGAGAGGATCCTGTGTATTGCGAAACACTGAGAGATCCCACAGTCGGCCTGGCCGGGTATGTGTGGGCGAGAAAAACTTACAGGAAGATAATAGTTATGAAACTGTGTTATCAGCGCTGCAACTTTTGCTGACATTAGGATGTCATGTGTCAAAAATATTAGACTCGTCAACAGATTTTGTTTACATGCCTCTATCTACATGTCACTGGTCAAAAGGGATTTTTTAAACAACAACAACAACAACAACAACAACAGCCTCTCATATTATCCACACGCACACTCGAAAGCACAGGGGGAGTGAGTGGGTGAGAGAGAGAGAGAGAGAGAGAGAGAGAGAGAGAGAGAGAGAGAGAGAGAG